AAAGCAATAATCAACCAAACTTTGGTCCATAAAAACTGGTTTAATTAGTTTTCCGGATGCACCACGGCGAGATAGAATGATGGTAGTTTTTACCATAATTACCGATGTTTCCCTTAGTACATTTCGGAACTGGGAAAAAGTTATTAATTTGGAAGTCACTTGATGGACCCTTATCATCGGGCAGGTGTCGATGTACAATTCGGCAAGTTGTTCATTAGACTGGCAGATGAAGCTGTGGAGAAGTTCTTCGCTTTCAAGTGCACGATCCCGAGATCAAAACACTGATCAGGCATCTCTCAGATTAAACAGCGAAATCATTTCACCTATGAACTCATCCTATAGGGTAACAGATGGAGTCAGGACAAAATAGTACATAGACAATAAATGGCTCTGCGATCTGAAGAAAAAGTCGATCACGGGGCGCATACCGGAAAGTGATTTGTCAAAGCCACTTGTTTCACCCTTATTCGTTCACTGGTCAAAATTCAAAGTCACCTTCGACTTTGTTACTCCGGTACTGTTGTTTACTGCAATTGTCCAAAGTTCGAGAACGTGTCAACTTCATACATTGCTGGCTAGTAAAGAGACATGATAGCAAATCATTTTGAAATCAAACTTACTTATAATTTCAGGGTAGGCAAAAAAGTGTCAAACTCTGTTTAGGGGACCTTCAGAGTTGCTAGGAACACCTCTGGAAAGTATCAAGTGTTCTGTCCAATGATCATAAGAAAAAGCTCGCTGTGAACACTTGCACGCAACAGGCTACACTGACGTTATTTTCTACTGGTTTACTCTACAAGATACCTTCACACTTTTTAGTTTGTTTTTTTTTNTTTTTTTTTAACAGAAGACCAGGCCGTTCTCGATCCATGCGCTCTAGTGGAAGCAGGTAAAATCATTGATGTTCCAGCTCATGCCACAGTCACGGCTACCCCAACTCTGGCTACCAGAGCCCTCTGGCTGGCCTCGAGGAACCTCTGACTGGACCTTTTTCGATTACTTTGCTCATTATTTATGGGGTTCTATATTTACATGTCATTTGTTACACATTTATGTTACATATAACATTTATACTTATCAAATTTATTTTGCTGAAAATTTTTGAAGTTTTGAACTTTTTTTGTTTTTCCCTTGCCTCTAGTTTTCTATGCTGATGTTGAGATGGCACTTCACCTCCTCTAATTCCTCATTCCCCAGATCTGAGCCTCCAAAGGTCATGTCCATTCATTTCTACATAGTTACGCTGCGAGGTTGGAGGGAAGGAAAAATTGCCGATCGATATTTTTCAGTTGTTTTCGCATAACTGTTGTACAGTAAACATAGATGGTAATCTTTTGATCTTGTGATTGTTTACCGTACGGTCCAGCTTAATTTTTACAGCTTTGCAACAAAAGCTTATCACACTGAAACGTTGCTATCAGAAAAGTGATGAATAGGGCTTATCACTGGAAGTTTCAACTAGGCAGCGAAGCAACAAGTAACTGTACAACTTCGCCGAATACCAGAAATTTGACAAGCCCAAAGTAACGCCAAGAAATGACCGGGACCGAAAGAATACACCGAAAAAGGATCAGAAAGGCTCAGTGCAAGAACCAGTTCCATTGAGATCGGGACCGGTTTCGATGAGAATATTTGAGGGACCAGTCAAGTTGGTCCAGCGACCACTTGCATCCGTGAAATTGAGGCTGACGCAGGCCGCATAACGTTGAGGATCAGCTTAGGTACACATGCAGTTTGGCCACGCCCCCTCCCTCATGTTCAACTCCCTTCAACAGCGTATTGATCGATTATTACCATTTTATGACATTGTTTGATCTCCAAGCTGTAGCCAATCAGAGGCTCACAGTAATCAAGGAGCATGTGCTCTTTCTATTAAAAAACAAGGAACACGCATCATTCTATTGACTTACTTTTTTATTTAATCGAGTAATTCTTTTAATTAGAGGTATTCATCGCAATTTGTATTGGAATTTCCCATTCAGCCCATTACTTCCTCGTAATAGTGTTAGTAATCTTTTGCAGCTTTAATCATAGCTTACTATTACCGTAAGAGTACTCGTATGTTACCAAATAATATAACAATGTAAACAAAAATAATAAATACTGCAAGTAAAAAATACATCAGCTGGTGTGTCTAGGTTTTTTATCATGTTCTGTTAATTTTGGGACGACCTGAAAGACCTGAAAAAACAGGTACCATATGCAAAGTACTGTGAACCTGATTCAGGGTGAACTGTTCTGCCACTCCTCTCGAATTCCTTTGTCGCTTATCGAACTGAATGGAAACATGTTTTAGTGTGTCATGAAGGCCGAAAATGGTCGATATGGCCGAAAAAAGCACCTGACGTTGCCAATCTCGGCAATGACAAATGACCGGAACAAGTTTGTTCGATCTCCAGCGCCCAGGCATTACACTTAACGAAAGTTCGTATTTTGGCGAACCCTATCGAGGGGCTTCTCCAACCATATGGGGCACCCAATCACTTGTGTTTGAGCGGGAGAAGGGGAGGGGCTTAAAAGTGAAATAAGGGTTGAAACTTTGAAAAAGGTGTCCTTAGGTCTGCGAAAATACAAGGTGTATATACATCAATCCGAATTTGATGGCTCAAAAAAAANTCTTCAAGTTATTCTTGAATCAGAAATAATTCCTTAATAAACATACTTCTGAATGACCCTTTCTGAAGGGAAGTATAGGCGACTGTGAAGTTTTCATAGCTTTTGGTAGCATTTGCCAGGGGTCCTACTTCCTAGTATGTAGGCAAAGCCCTTGAACCCATCTGCATATTCATCTCCTCGGATCAAGTTTATAACAGTCCTATAGAGAACTTGCTTCCCTCCGAAGGCCATTTATAGGAACCAGATCTGCAATGGGCACGGTGCCCACTTTAACTAGGTAAACATAAACAAAAAAGTAGCACCAAACTTCTTTTTATTCCTTGCTTCTCTCCAAAAACTACTGCTTGAGGGCCCTGACCAGGGATCACGACCACATGGGTTTTAGAATTTATCTAAACAAATTTAAATTATAGGGTTGTTTTACTTACATCTCAATAATAAATTGACAGGAGTAAACTGAAAAGAACTTTGTACAGAAAATGGCAACCTGTTATAGTGAATTTCCTACACTGAACATCATTCAAAATATTCTGATAGATTTTACCAGTTTTTGGTTCCAGTAATATGAAATTTCCGCTAACATTAAACAAATGCCATGAACTTTCGTATTCGACCTATGGCGCAAGATTAATGAAAAGATTAATGAAAAATTCATTAGATACATGAACAATAGATGTTGCATTGTTCCATCTGTGCTGGTGCGGAAGGGAAGTGAGCGGAAATGAAGTTGGGCATTGGTAAAGGGAGTGGCTAAGGTTTATCCTAAGGGTCAAGTTTCTTTTTTGTCTCTCTAACTGACGTTCGCATGATTTTATTTTTAATCCTTTCATAGATCACCTTGCTGCCTGAAATAAGGTTAGAACTACCGGTTGGGTGTGCTGCAGTAGGAACGAAAGTGTCGCGTCACGGCGAGACAGACGCCGCGCACGAAGGAAGGTGGCTGAATGCAGCAGCGTGTAAGAATTTTGGAACAAAAAACTAATAGTAGGATCATGTCATAAGTAATAATCGCGTAGCGATTGAGGTGTGTGAAGAACGCTAGAAGTGCTATAACGAGGCAAATGGTCCGCGACAGCCGCGTGCGGCGACACAAAACCAATCCTACTGCCCGTCTCCCCTCCCGGTTGATTGAAAATTTCAAGGAACTGCTTTAGTGCTCGTCGTGTACCCTTGTAAAAATCTCTTTTTGCTCACCGAATTTTCAATTTCAGCCCCATTTTTCCCGTTTAAGAAATAAGCTTTGAAGCATTTAGCACGAAAATTTTTCAGCCACTTCTGACATACTTTTCCAATGCCCCTAGCCGGGGTTCAGGTCCTTAGCGTGAACTGGTACGTTGTGGTCGTAGTTACTCGCTTCTGGTTTCATAATTAAGTTGAACAGAATAGTATGTAGCTATTTATTTCTTACCTATTAAAAGGAACGTGCTTGAAATAGTGATATCACGATTACTTTTCCACTTCAGCGGAGAAAATGAGTTTTCGGGAAGGAGTCAAACCAGTTTGTGCTGGAAAATCATACTTTGACCAGTTTCATCAGACCTCAACTACTGCTATTCTCTTGCCTTTGACTTACTTTTCCAGACCATACTTAACTGATCTTTTGCAATCCTTTTTCGAAATCTTTTTACTTTCCCTACCTACGGCATCGCGGTCATCGTCAATAAAAGACATATGTATACCGTATATCTTCGCCCTAAATCTATGTTGACGTTTAATTGCAATCCTGCTTGTTTGTTTTAGAGTGTTTCGAACATTTCTTCCTTTCTTCTGCTTACTATAAGTCGTTACGCTACGGTTTAATAATGTTTAAGTATAATCCTTACACTTGCGATATAAAGATTTTTTGCCCAAACTTCAGTTGCAATTGAACTGGTGTTTTCTTGGTAAAAAACTTCCCCATTTTGGTTTTTTTATCGGTAAGAAATCGGTAGCAGAAGAGGTGTAGTGGCGAGCGGCGCGCTATCACACACGCATAGTCGAGGGTTCGAATCCCGGATCGATCTCCGCCTGGGCCATCCAAGGCTTCCATTCTAATGTGTCGTTAAATCGGTACCAGGCTCGTCTGGGAGGATAAAAGCACTGGCTTGCACATCGGCTGCCACCCAAGCCATTGTATGGCCACACACGTGTTCGAATCCCCACTCGACTCCGTTCTGTAACGCAGGCTGCGCATTTTTGGAAATAATTTTTCCTCTAAAACAGTCAACTTCAATCGATGACATTGCAGTGGTGTGAGTGACTTTAGGCCATTTCACAGTACAGCCTATCGCCTATATTGTCCTAGATACCAGAGGATTGCTCCTTCCTAACCTGATCGTGGACTCCTACCTCATTATTTCGGTAACCTACTCTTTTAACTGAACCTATTCAGGGTAAACACTGAAATGCATTGGTGGGTACTGGTAAAGCGCTACTTTGTTTTCTTCACAACATGCCTCATCGGTTACCTCAAGTATCAGTACTCAAGAAGATTTACGAAAAGAAAACCCAGGGATGACCTAACACCTATAGATGACGTCACACAAGTTCACCCGAATGTAATCCGAATTCTTGGACAAAATCCTGGGCCGTTTACACTTCAGGTGAGTACAAAACGCCAATTTCTATGATTATAGTTTTTATTTTTGTGCCTTTTCGTTGGTAATTTCTGATTAGTTTCATTGTAGTTTTTATTGGTTTTTCTATTTGATCAATAGCAATCCATTTTTAGGGAACGAATACCTATTTGGTTGGTTCCAATCAGAAAATGTTTTTGATTGACGCTGGAGAGCCAAACAATCCACGGTGATTTTCTGCTTGAATTTCTTTGCCTCGATAGCAATTCCATTATGGTTTACTCTAATAAATGAGTATAGTAGTCTTTATTAACTCTTCGTGGAGTAAGACTTACCATGATAATTTGAAAAATAGTTACGTCTGTGGAATTTTTTAATTCAGTTTGAGACCAATTTCCCTGTTTGGAATTGCAAAGCGGAGTTTCAGGTACATTGACAAGCTCAGGGAAGCTCTTGGTGCTGGCACAATTGAGGGTATAATCTGCACTCACTGGCATCACGATCATTTAGGTAAACTGGCCTGAAATACAGTATTGGCTTGAAGTTTTGGGGACATAGGACCTACATGAAAACACTTATTCCCTGCTTTGTTGCAGGTGGATGTCAGTCAGTACGCGAGCACTTCAGGACATCAAAAGGCGATCCACCGCCGGTATACAAGGGAAAGCACGGCAGCGCAGTGAGTTTTTCAAGCTCTGGAGAACTTTAATTTATGCAAGGAGTCCCTGAGATACACATTAGGCCCGGGTGGTGCCCCCTCTTTATGATTAGGCCCTATTTGTATCTGTGAGAGTACGTATAGAGTAAGTGAAATCATTTAAACTTGCTATTACTGGTAGCTTGATCCCGCGAGCTTTTGGACGACATTAGAAAGTCCCCTGGCTTGAAAAGAAATTTTATCAAAGCGAGGCCGATGTTTAAGAACCAAATTTTCAAGGATTTACATTCAGTGGAAAAAATACTCCACCGCTATGAATAAGTGCATTGGGTGCTTAGAAGTCATTCCTGTGATTGGTGGATCAGGCTGACAGCCAATCACCGCTATTTTTGATACATTCTGCTTCTGAATTTCATTATACAGTGATAATGAAAGCGTTTTCAGGCCAGGAAGGACTATTGTGAATATATTGCAGACGGTCACGTATTCAGGCAGAATGGCGTCACCCTCTCCATTATAGATACAAAGTAAGTTTACTTAGGGTGGTTACTTTTTAAAAATTTAAGCTCATTCTGGCAGAAAATTGGATTATACCATCAACACAGGGTTGGGCTGCATGTAACGTTCAAATACTCTACTTACACTTACACATTATAAAAATAAGTCAAGCCACGCATTCGAAAACTGTCCCAACTAGCACAGGCCGCGAAAGAGCGACGGCCCTACGTTGGCCTTTTGATGTGTGATCCCATTTCTGGGAAAAATCCACCATCACTCTGTAGCAACCACACAGTATCTAAGAGATTGTACTGACTGGTTACGGGCCTCTAACTCACTGGTAAGTTAGGATATCAGATGAAACATTCACTTTTATTATTATAAAAATTCAAGTAAATCTTGTATGCTTCACTTTTCCGATAGGACTGTCCATTTTTACTTTCTTTTATACTTTACGGGGTGTGGCAGGCGAGTGATTCTAATGAATGTCTTCATATATCAGTCAGCTAGAGCGGATGTACAGAGGGCTCGATGGTATCGGGCGTAGCTGGACCAGAGTGACCTTCGAAGTGATGAACGGCTACTGTGGCCATCACTGCGCTCCTTCCGTCCACATATCGCTACCTTGTAAGACCTAGTAATCACCGACAACACATCTTCAGCCCAATCGGACTCTGACACTTAAGTTGATACGATTCAACGGACGAGTAATTAATTAAAGAAGCCGTAAAGGATGGTCTCAATGACCTTTCCGTTTCGATGTCCGCTAATTGTCAATTTGAAACAACGAACGTGTCCTTGGAATGGTTTACGTCTGACCTCCAGACTATTTTATCTTCAGACACGAAACTGTTAGATTTTATCTCAAACCAGGAACTCTTTTAGACGTGGAACTGGTAACAATTTCGAAAAAAAGCTGAGTTGATCAACTCCACTCTGCTTTCCTTCAAAAGGACCTCCTTTCAACAAAACAGTATCGACTCTAGTTTGGAAGTGTAGGGTCCTAGTTCAGAAGCCATGACGAGCTGGCCGAACTGAGGGTACAAGAACACATGTTAAGCGCCTATAGTAATGTGACAGTAACAGGCAGACGAGCTGAGGTTGATGGAAAAAGCTCTACCTGAAAAGTAAAACTAATAGGAGCTTTAGTGATATTACCAACGAAGGTCTGGCCCAGAAGACTGAAAGTTTAGGAAATAACATCGAGATGCGAGAAAACTTAATTCAGATGAACATCGTGGGCTTTTAGTTCCTGCTAAGTAATTAAAAAAGTAGCATCATTTTTGGATTGAGAAAATGGAGGAAGAACGGCTTCGGGAGAGGGAGTCACATTGGGTTCAGAGCTTATCCCTTCGGACTCGGACAGGACCATAGCTGCCCTGCGTATACGGGCCCGGAAGAGGGACAAATTTTGAACGGAAG